TAACACTGTCCACCCAACCTAGTCTTCCTTTATTAAGGCATATTAGAGCATCTGAACTCGTGGGAGCAAAGATGCCAGCACCACACCTGCGTGAGGTGTGTCACTGAAGTCACCAGCACACAGCAGTCTGGAAGCACGGCAGTCACAGCCCAGCCGACAAGCCGTTGGAAGCCACTCCGGTGGTCACGGCGGACGGACACCGGCAGCCTCTGCCAGGAACCCTTCCGCCTTTGGAGGGATGCGTGGGGGCCGCCCGCCCCCTCCCCAAAACCGCAGGTTACGGCCATCACTCCGTGAGGCTGGGAAATGCATCGTGCCCTTCCACGTGTTCTCCCAGAGCCAAGTTCAACTTCCAGGACCTCATCTTCCCTAAGACCCAGATACAGTGGCTAGCATCTCCTTTCCTGTAAGACATCTGACGTCACCTGAAACGGGAGGAACCCCTGCCGCTCACGGCAGCTCCGTGGCCCGAGACGGGACGGGACTGTGTCAGCTGGGTGACCCCAGGCTGGTTCTTTAACCTGCTGCCCGTTGCCCCACCTGTGCGCTGGGGGCAGCAGCGCCTGCTCCACTACGTGAGTGAAGGGCACTGGGGGGGGCGGGGCCTCCAGCAGTAACTGGCTCCAAGGAATCACATACAAATGTCCGCTGTCAGGACATTCTCTGCTCCGAGCTCCACCTGCACGTTTGACCGGATTATCGAAATAACATGCTTGAAAGCAAAAGGAGGAAGAAATGTTTCTTACTACATCAAGAAAATGCATTTATTTATTTTAAAATAAAATTTTATTTACCAGGAGAGGCAAAGAAACAGGTGATGTGTGGGATGGGAGTCAATGGTTTTATGTTCAGTGTTCCAAGCAGCGTAATTATTAAAACTGAAAAGAAAAAGCGGAGTTCTGGCAAACAGGACCCTTGACAGTCACGTACCGCACCTTCCGTACCAACCCTTAGGGGGTCCCATCCAGACAGCCCCTGAGAGTCTGGGTTCTGGAACATTCTAAGCAAGCAGAAAGTAGTTTTAATAAATTCAGTCCCTTGTTACTTAGGGTGAGACTTGTCTTAGTGTGCAGGCTGTCGAAAATTACCGTCTTAGAGAATGCATTCTTACGTTCATGCAGTGAATTTCTGGCATTAAAAAAACTTACACTATCCGTGTTTTGAACCTTACATTTAACACGTTATGGACACGTATGTTTTCTCCAGTCTTCACAGATGCCCACCGTGTAAAACGGGTGCAGGGTGTGGGAAGTACCGTGATCTGCTTGCAGGTCTTCACAGCACTCAACTGCCGCTGTGTGAAACCTTTTGCTATTAAAAACAATGCTAGGATCCTGTTCCCAGAGCATCATTCTTTTGTAATTAGGATCTTTTCTAAGGAGGGTTTCTAGAGGGAGATGTACGGGCCTCAGTAACTATCTGCCACTCCGAGCTTCTTCGCCTAGATGAGGTTGACAATGACACAGATTGGAAGGACAAAGCCACTCGCACAGCACCCGTCCTAAAAGGTGACATTTCTCGAGACCCCGCCCCCTATGGGGACCTGTGCTGGACACCCCACCCATGTTACTCAAATCCTTGCGATGTAAGAGCAGATGCATCCCCGAGCCTGGTTTCCATGCTGGTCTCAAAAAAGTTTAAGGAATTTGTCGAGGACTCACGCAGCTAAGCATCATCCAAACTGAACTCTGAACTCAGCTGTGATTCCAAAATTATGCCTCGTCACCTAACAATAAGTGCTCTTTCTTAAAACGGTTGATGTCAGGAGAATGTTGCTGTGTTGCCCTCAGGACCCAAGCAGGGCGGCTGTGCCCAGGGAGCCCCCTCCGTGGTGCTCCCCCCACTGGAAGAGCAGGACAGCATCGCCTTGAACCTGTGGTGCTCTGAGCTCTTGGATTTGTCACACACTGAGAAGAGGCCTGCGTTACTGAACAAAGACAAATACTATGTGGAAACAGCCCTGATGTTGCGCGTGGTGCCACTCAGGGTTTCAGGCTGACTGGGTGACTGGCTGCTTCGCTGATGTCACCCCATTCCTTATGACCCTTCCGGGGAAGGGGACCCATTTTTACGGAGGATGGAAGCCCGGGTCTGCAGGCGCGAAGACGCAACTGTCTAGGGGGTGAGTGGACAGCTGCGAGGCCGCCCGGAGGCCACCCACGCACGAGCACGCAGCCCTCAGCCGTCTCCCCGCCCGCGCCCCGGTGGGTCCTGACCCCGCGCCGGAGCGGTGAGCTCGCTTTGATGTTTGTGAACCGGCTGCACTGACGCGCAGGACAGCGACTCAGGGGTTACAGAAACTGTTATTTATACAGATGTGGTTAACACCTCATCAGTTTAAGCCGGCTGTGCTAATAATAATAATAATGCTCCTTGTGCTCTGTTTTCTGGGTTTTTGTTTTTCCCCAAATCGGCAACTGCCACGTGCAAGACGCCGAGCGCCTGCCGGAACCGGCCGCACCACTGAATTCCTGAACCGAAGGTGCGTCCTGGGCAAACCTCCTGCCCAACCGAGTGGGCCCCTCCCCATGTGAGGCCCCCGACGTGAGGGTTACGTGACGATCCATCGCAGGGCTCGGTGTCTTGTTAACTACTAGCCACTGTCCCAAATATCGCCTAGCTCACGCACCACCCCACTCCCAGGTCTGCTCGCGGGGGCCCCTCGGCTTTAAGAGGATCCGGTTCCAGAGCAGCTCACCCAGCGAGCCTCCCTCCGCTGCAGGAGTCGGTCAGGCTCCCCTGTCCGCTGGCCCCAACGCAGGCTCCTGCCGTCTTGGGGAAGGGATAAAGGGAGCTTTCTGCTGGCGTGTAGTTCTCTCCTGTTCCCAGCAACAGCGCTGTACCTCAATGAATGCACAGCTTAGATCCCATGATAATAAAACTATCTGTTTAACTCACGGTAGGTAGCTGATTGATTGAGTTATCACTGTGAATCCAAATGGCCACACTGTTCACATTGTACAGTGAGAACTTATTGCAGGACTTTAACTTGAAAAAGAAGGAGGAGGTTTGACTTTTTGGCCTTTATAGGAGTAAAACTGTCCCTTATTTGACCATAGTTAGTATCGCCACTCCAGTAATTGTAGCAGTTCCTGGAATGGGTGCTCAGTTAACGCCAGGTAAACACTTCACTTAATTTTATTAAGAAATTCTGTTAAGAAATTGAAGAAACAATGGTACCTAAGGTTATTCCACATCCAAGTTAAAAAAATGTACAACTTGCTATTTCTATGTTGCTTGTGCCCACCCCCCAAATGATAGGTGGGAGCCCTCGTCCCCAACCCAATGGCACTTGGGGCGGGGCCCTCACGAATGGGATTAGTGACCTCATAAAAGGGACACCGAGAGAGGTGAGCTCTCCCCCCCCCCCTTTAGGGAAAGACACAGCGGGGGGTCAGCTGCCTGCACACCGGGAAGAGGGTGCCACCAGACAGCAGGCCTGCCGCCCCCGGGGGTCTCGCACACCCCAGCCTCCAGAACTCTCGGGGAAAGACTTGATTTTGCTCTCTGGTCTATGGGATCCTGGTTCAGCAGCCTGGACCAAGACACACACACACACACACACACACACACACACACACTTCCTTAAGAAATGACACAGGTAAAAACACGCCTACCAAGTCTGCTTTGAGAGTGCAGTCCACGTGGCACAGCGGTGCCGACGTGCTGGACGACGATGACCCTGCTCTGCAGTCACTGACACGTGAGTTGGAAAAACACAACTATCTCACTGAAGGCAAACACGCATATATTAATAAAAATCTGTAATAGAAGTAACAAAAATAATACATACACGGACAAGAAAGTTGTCCAAAAGACGCAGAAGTATCACTGTATTTATTTGCCCTCGTCCTATCTCTTCTATAGAGATAATTTATGCTCTTTGAAGATTCCTTCACAGGTGTTTTCTCGGCCTCTGGACGCCTTGAACCCCAGCACGGACTGTGGAGCTCCTCTGCGATCACGCGCACAGCGAGGTTGGACCTCTGCGAGCTGCGGTCTCGGGGCCGTGTCCCTGGGCACTGTGCTCCGCTGGCCCCTGAGCCGGCGCAGACGCGGTCGGGTTAGCTGGGGCCACTGCGTTCGTTATTCAACCTCCTTCGTACGTGCAAAACAGTGATTGAAAAGCACTAAGAGGAGGTTTTCCAGACTTAAGCAGTCCCTTCTGACCCCCTTGCTGTAAAAGACACAAGATATTTTGAAGAACTAGGACTTATCCTCAGATAACCTTCCAGAACCTCCTACTAGGTCATTCTAGGCTCCAACTGCTGAAAAGGGGAGCCTTTGAACTGTTCATTCACAGGGTTTCCAAGGTGTGTGTTTCGAGTAGAATAATAGTTGATCTCAGAGGAACGCACATAACTTGAAAATAAATCCAGTATCCAAAGTTAAAGTGCTGAACTACTAAGATGGTTCTGTTCTTTTCCATCGAAAACAGGTATCACCTTTGACTTTAAGATTTCGATTTCCAGGCTGAGACCCAGTGACTAATGAACACTAAACGGTGCTCTGCACGGAGACGCCCCGCCCAGCCATCTAAGGGTGCAGACCAGGGGGTCAGGTAACATCTAGTCACTAGGTACCTGGTTACTCTTCTGCACAGTTCTTTGTAAACAAATGAAAATAAACTTTATTACCATATTACTCTAAATAGCTGCCGAAATTAAATCCAAATATTGTTACATTTAGATAAATGGGCGGTGGGGTGGGGGGGGGGGGATAGAAATGCAGTTCCTTCAATTTCCCTTCTCAGAGATCTCAATGACAATGTAGAAAAATGAAATAGATACAGGATTATTTATTTAACTGATGCCAGAAGAATTTAGATATTTAGGGTAGAGATAACAGAGTTCAATTATGAAAACCATTCACCTAAAGATACAGTTTCTAAAATAATATTTGCTCACCCTTCGGTTCATATTCATATAGGGTAGTACCGTATTTTGCTTAAATATTTCCCAGCCAAGATGAAGAAATACTACTACATATAAAACATCCCATCTGTATGGTATGATTTATTTCATGTAATTTATATAAGCTTTATAGTCTGTAACAGGATGTTTTTATAGTGGCAACTCAATTTTATTTTGAAATAAAATAATTTCAGAAATAGAGAAATCTGTAAATATCCTTTTCCTCACCCTCAGTTTGGAGATCTTGTTCACTTTTTCTGAATTAAACTGCAGACTGTACAATGAGTATATGTGCACATTTAAAAGACAACTGTTCAATAAATGAGAAGTGACAATATTTGCTGGTTTCTACCCACCAAATGCACTATTTGGAGTTTTCACGAAGGTTTAGTATGATGCAGGGACTAATAACAACAAAAATAAAGCACAATGTTTAACTTTGGAGGAAAAAAGGTTTTCAGGTGCTACAAACACTTGTTTTCAAAACGACCTTCCTTTACGACAAACGCCGGGCGGCGGCCTCGCTGAACTTCAGCTGCGTCACACTCTTTGTGGCCCGAGAACGGGCCTACAGACACACGCCGCCGCCTCCTCCTCCCCCCGGGAACCCCTGGGGAGGCCCCCTCGCAGTGGAACAGATACAAATCCATGCCCGCGGCCCGCCGGCAGGAGAGGGCAGTTCCCAGAGGTGGGCAGAGGGGCGGGGCCTGCAAGGAAAGAGGAACGGATCGCAGCTGTTCAATATAGTTCCCCGGCCGATTTAGATCTCGGGCCGTTTCACAGAAATTCTGGAGTGTCCTACTCTGTCTTCGCCTGTCATTTAACGACAGGACACTACAACTACCGGACTGAGTAGCCCGAATCTAGCAGTCCTGAGGGCAACAGTCAAGGACTCGTCCCGGGCCGGATGCCGTCTTCCGACGGGGACTGCCGTCAGCTACTCCAGCACGACCACGAGAGAGAACGGAGGAGGAAGACGTGAGTACTCACGAAGACGAGGGACTAAAACACGCCCCACGAGCTTCCCTGGGGAGCGCGCCTCCTGGCGCCAGCGGGAGGGGAGACCTCGGCCAGCCTCAGGCAAGAACATCCCAGCGCGGAAATCGTCCGTCATTACTTATGTGCAGTGCTTAGTATGTAAAATATAATGTGAAAGTAGAGATTTAATGTCTTGTACATCATAAGTGCCAGAATGTCTTAGGAAATAAATTTATCACCCCAAATCAAAAGTATTATCATTTTAAACTTCACTGCGTAAGTTTTCTCAAAAGCTCCCACCAAAACCAACCCCAAACCTTCCCCCCAGACTGGAAGTACACACTCACGGGGCTGTAAGCTGAATACTTGAACTTCAAGGAGCTCATTTTAATGATAAAGGACGTTGTCTTTCTAGGAACACTGGCAACAATGAAACAAAACACCAAACACCCACGGCCAGCACGTTAACCCACGACGACCGTGGCACAGTGTGTGTCTCGCTGGGCACGCAGACGCAAGGCTTACAAGCACAGGAGTCTGAAGACACGGCTCCGGCCAAGCTCCGGTGAAGAGGGGACACCGCAGAGCTGGTCGCGGGAAGGTCCTCCGCTGGGTGGCTCCCGACCGGGTCCTCCACGCCCCTCCCTCCGGGCACGGGTGGTCCTCCGGGAGACGTAACGCGGCTCCGCGCTCCGCCTCCCGCACACACCCCGGGCCTCACGCCTCGGCGCCACTGCCCGGCCCCGGGCTGCCGCCGCCGTCCGGGCCGTCACTCTCCTTGTCCCAGTCCTTCATGGACGCCCCCATCATGAAGTCGTCGCGCAGGATGGTCCAGCCGGGGCCCTCTTCTTTCGCCTCGGTCTGAGGACAAGCACAGAACCACACCGTTCAGAGGCCAATGCAGCCGCAGGGAAACAGAGAGATGCGAGCCCCCAGCACACCCGCCGACACCCGGGCTCCGACACCCGGGCTCCGACAGGAGAGAGACCTGAGCCCCCAGCACACCCGCCGACACCCGGGCTCCGACAGGAGAGAGACTCGAACCCCCAGTACACCCACCGACACCCGGGCTCCGACAGGAGAGAGACCCAAGCCCCCAGCAAACCTGCTGACACCCGGCTCCGACAGGAGAGAGACCTGACTCCCAGCAAACCTGCTGACACCCGGCTCCGACAGGAGAGAGACCTGACTCCCAGCAAACCCGCCGACACCTGGACACCCGGGCTCCGACAGGAGAGAGACCCAAGCCCCCAGCACACCCGCCGACACCCGGGCTCCGACAGGAGAGAGACCCGAACCCCCAGCAAACCTGCTGACACCTGGACACCCAGGCTCCGACAGGAGAGAGACCCAAGCCCCCAGCAAACCTGCTGACACCTGGACACCCGGGCTCTGACAGGAGAGAGACCCAAGCCCCCAGCACACCCGCTGACACCCGGGCTCCGACAGGAGAGAGACCCGAACCCCCAGCACACCCGCCGACACCCGGGCTCCGACAGGAGAGAGACCCAAGCCCCCAGCACACCCGCTGACACCCGGGCTCCGACAGGAGAGAGACCTGACTCCCCAGCAAACCTGCTGACACCCGGCTCCGACAGGAGAGAGACCTGACTCCCAGCAAACCCGCCGACACCTGGACACCCGGGCTCCGACAGGAGAGAGACCCAAGCCCCCAGCAAACCTGCTGACACCTGGACACCCGGGCTCCGACAGGAGAGAGACCCAAGCCCCCAGCACACCCGCCGACACCCGGGCTCCGACAGGAGAGAGACCCGAACCCCCAGCACACCCGCCGACACCCGGGCTCCGACAGGAGAGAGACCCGAACCCCCAGCAAACCTGCTGACACCTGGACACCCGGGCTCCGACAGGAGAGAGACCTGACCCCCAGCAAACCTGCTGACACCCGGCTCCGACAGGAGAGAGACCTGACTCCCAGCAAACCCGCCGACACCTGGACACCCGGGCTCCGACAGGAGAGAGACCCAAGCCCCCAGCAAACCTGCTGACACCTGGACACCCGGGCTCCGACAGGAGAGAGACCCAAGCCCCCCGCACACCCGCCGACACCCGGGCTCCGACAGGAGAGAGACCCGAACCCCCAGCACACCCGCCCGACACCCGGGCTCCGACAGGGAGAGACCCGAACCCCCAGCACACCCGCCCGACACCCGGGCTCCGACAGGAGAGACCCGAACCCCCCAGCACACCCGCCGACACCCGGGCTCCGACAGGAGAGAGACCCGAACCCCCCAGCAAACCTGCTGACACCTGGACACCCGGGCTCCGACAGGAGAGAGACCTGACCCCCAGCAAACCTGCTGACACCCGGCTCCGACAGGAGAGAGACCTGACTCCCAGCAAACCCGCCGACACCTGGACACCCGGGCTCCGACAGGAGAGAGACCCAAGCCCCCCAGCAAACCTGCTGACACCTGGACACCCGGGCTCCGACAGGAGAGAGACCCAAGCCCCCAGCACACCCGCCGACACCCGGGCTCCGACAGGAGAGAGACCCGAACCCCCAGCACACCCGCCCGACACCCGGGCTCCGACAGGAGAGAGACCCGAACCCCCAGCACACCCGCCGACACCCGGGCTCCGACAGGAGAGAGACCCGAACCCCCAGCACACCCGCCGACACCCGGGCTCCGACAGGAGAGAGACCCGAACCCCCAGCACACCCGCCGACACCCGGGCTCCGACAGGAGAGAGACCCGAACCCCCAGCACACCCGCCGACACCCGGGCTCCGACAGGAGAGCGCCCGGGCCCAAGCGCAGGCGGCCCGTTTGTGTGCGGGACCGTGTCTGCACGAGCACGCGGCAGAGCTGAGCGCTGACAGAACGTTTCAACCTCACCGAAGACGCATGGAGGCACAACAGTTGTTGCAACGGGAAGAAAGTACAGTAAGATCTAGGCTTAGTATCAACTTTTAGTCTTTTGACAAAAGAAGTCTTGTAATATTATTTCAAGCTCACTGGTAATTTACTAAAACGTTTGGCAAACCATTTTAAGACAAACAGAACTTTAATAAAGGCTTTTAACCCAAAAGAAAGGAGAGGAAAGGGAGCTCACTGGGCCCCGTGCTAGGTTTTCGCACATGCGATCTCATGTAACAGCTGGTAAAACCGTGAACCAAACGTTCTTCATTTCCGTTATGCCCTCACTGCCTGACCTGATCATGGAATCACAAGGCTAGGCACATGCAAAAATTATAAATAAATGAGCATGCAATAAACATGACAGGCATGTTTATTTATTTATGTATTTGGCTGAAAAAAGCAGAGATTTATTTCCTCGCAGTTCTGAGGCTGGAGTGCAAGGTCAAGGTCTGGTCCCTTCCGAGGCCTCGCTCTGTGGCTTGCAAACAGCCACATCCTCATGGTTCCCACAGGGCCTGCCCCTGTGTTTCTGCACCACTGACACTTCCCTGAGTGTCCACAGCCCCTCTGACAGGGACTCCAGCCACACCAGAGGGGGGACCGTCCCAGCGGCCGCGCTTTACCTCAGCCACCTGCTCAGAGGCCCGTCTCCAGACGCAGGCGCGTCCCAAGGTGCAGGTGCAGGACGGTAGGGCGGCAATACAGGAACTTGGTGAGGACACAACGCAGCTCAAAGCCCTACACCCGCTAGATCCCCACAGTTCAGGCCTTTCCCACACACAGAACCCATTCACTCCCACCCCAGCAGCCCCAAAGTTTTCTTCTTCTCACATTTTAAAAAATAATTGTTAAAGTGCAGCCGTGTCCATTTCCCCCCACCACTCCAAGTACACGGGTGGGAGAGTCCAAGGACAGCCTCGTGTTTTGTGGTACAACAGTGCCACCTTGTGGCGCTGACTAGGTACTGCAATATAGGCAGGACTACAGGCGGTGACTTCTTTCCCTCATTCCGCAAATACTGAGCAGCACCGTTCAAAACAAAGTCCGTCTTCACAGAGCCGACAGTCGATGTTTTTTTTACTTACTCTATTCACAGAAATACACAGTGTTGGAAAAATCTCTAAAGATGCAAGACCCCATGCTATTTGGTTAGAAAGGAGTATTATCTTTAACGGGGTTTACAAACCATACGAAAAGCAACTTTTAAGAGAAAAGATGTAAAAGATATTTGTTGGGTTACAAGAGATGACATTTAATTCTGCTAACGTGCCTTGAAAGAGATGCGGCCCAAAGCAACCGTCCCATTTAGAAGGACTGGAAGCTGCGGCCCACAGGAAAGGCGCCCTCCCCCGCCCTTCCCCCTCCCTGGGGTCCAGGGGAGCCGGGACGCAGGCGGGACTCAGGAGTCGCAGGGCCCACGGCACTGGAGCAAACGCACACGCAGGGGCAAACGCAGACTCCGGCACCAGCTGCGGAGCGGCAGCACAAGAGCCCGGTGCCCGCCCACGCGGAGGACGGCGATGAACCAGGCCGGCTCCGAGCGCTCTGGACACGGGCGGAGCAGGAACCAGGGCCGCAGCCGGGCCCCTGCTGCCCTGCCCGCCCTCTGCGGGTCCGCGTCAGCCACCCGCCTAGCAAGGGGCTGTTTTCCCGCGTCCAACCCCACTGGTCTTTGCCAACCTCCTCCCACCTTGAACAAGAGAAAGCAGTAAAAGGAGACCCCCCGAGAGGCAACAATCCGAACGCGTCTCCTGCCCAATGCATCGCGCACAGCCCCCCACTCCACTCCGAGAAGCACCCGCTTCCGCACCCAGACTCCGGGCGAGCGCAGACTCGTCCCGGCCTCCACGGCTGTGTCCAACCGGGAACAGGCTCGATCCCGGAGGCGGCCTCCGTGCGCAGCTGACTGCACCCCACGTGCCATCAACACGGTTACCACCCGGCGCAGTGGACCTGCAGCAGGGCCCTGGGTGCGGAGTGGCCCCCGCAGGGCTCCGGGGCAGCCCGCCTCCACTGGCCTCTGGGCCACTCCCCCACTGGGAGCACCCCAGGGTGGGGGAGAGGATGAACGGGGACAGAGCCTCAAACTAGTCCAGTGTCCCAATTCAAGACCCTCAGCGGACTCCTGAAACTGAAGAGATACTACGTTTTGCATTATCTACCTACCTACCTACCTACCTACCTACCTACCTACCTAGGACAAAGCTGAATCCGTGAGTCTGGCCCAGTGAGAGGCTAACCGTAACCAAGGACAACACCGGACAATCCCAACAGCACACCGAAGTAAAAGCGGGAGGGAGGGAGGGAGGGAGGGAGGAGCAACACTGGGCGAAAGGAAAGGACGGTCGTTACAATGGCCTCGCCTGCTTGTCTCCAAAGACAACCACGTAAATGTGTATTTTTGGCACAGAGAGCAATAGAGGACAAGTTCAAAGCTTCTCTTCGTCGTCCAATGTGAAGACTGGCAACGAAGAGAAGCTCCCCTGGGGGGTCCTGGCGGAGGTGATTTTGTTTTGTGAGAGATGGACGCAGGCTGTGCCCGTTTTTCTCCAAGTGTGGTCCCAGGTCACAGGCATCGGCATCACCACCGGTTTTTGGAAATTCAACACTTCGGGGCCCATTCCAGACCCGCTGGCCCAGAGACTCGGGGAGCCGAGCCCAGCAACCGGTCTAACCAGCCACCTGGGGGTCTCACGCACATGGAGCCCGGAACCACCCAGGTGAGCAGGACCTGAGACCGAGTTGGCGGGACTCCACTGGGCGGGCGCAGACTCCGCCTACCGCCGCACGGAGCATGCGCGCCCGTCCGCACCCAGAAGGAACCGGGCAGGACCCAGCAGCTCGGAGTTGCCCTGCCCGAGGGACTGACTGCACGGACTCTGTGACCTACAGCAGCTACAAGATAACTGGAAGCGCCCACAGCAAAGGAGAAGAAAAACTGATTAAATGCAAAAATTTAATGCGAACCACATGAGGC